TTTCCCTACACGACGCTCTTCCGATCTCCCCAAAACCCCAAAACCCCAAAACCCCTTAAGCAAGAAATATATTAGATTTAAAGAAAATGCATATTTAAAATTGAAATTAAATTCTAATTCATAGAAATTATTAATGAGTGAGACTACTAAATTCAATCCTATAATTCAATTCAACATGAACTAGAACCATTAACATTATTCTTTGATTAATAACGACCAAGATCTTAGAAACGCTTCTCTTCTACATGAGTTGAGCCTTTAAGATCGATCACAATCTGAACAATAATATCTGACAAGCTCTTAGCATTTGCGAGGAACCGACGGTAGTCGAAAACTCAGAATTGAAGCTGCACTATAATGATCGCATCAAACATTTTCTACAAATTAAATGTCTGCATAATAAATAGATCACACCATTCACTAATCTTCTTAGGCTATGCCTTAAACAAGCACTTTTAGCGGGGAGAACACTCTCAAAATGTCATAGTTTTAGGATTAAACGCGAAATGCTTCTCTAAGCAAAGTAAATATCAATCAATTTAGTGGTAGCATTAAAATGGTCAGTAATAATTCATCAACGGGAATAAGGAAGATAGATAGAATTCATAATTAGCTTGTAACTCAGTCCATGCAGAATGGAATTACTCTTAAAAACATAGAAGGAGTTTTAGCTCCTTAGATTCAAACTAACTCCAGTCTTGTCAGAAGAGAACGCTGTGAGAGCATTGGCAATTAAATAAATAATATAAAAGACAGTAGGAATTGCAAGACATCTTCTCCTATACTTAATCTTTAAGGTGGGAAAGAAAGCAGACTAAGGAAAAAGTCAAAGGATATTAAGAATCGAGAAAAATTTGCTGATCTAATTGTCGTGCTAGGCATTAAATATTAAGATTTCAACTGTAAGGCATTTTATAGAATTTAAAACCAATAATAGTGCATAAAAGGGTGAATGCTCAAGTGGTTGGAGGATATCCAGACTTATCTGATAAGGAATTCGCTAAAAAGCACAACTATGTTGACAATTTATCATGGGTAATTTGACTAACCAATATCAATAATTTCAGATCTGCTTCCCAGAGGGATTCGTTGTGCAATCATTTGAGAAGAAAAAAGATGGAGAATTATGCCAAAGCAAGATCTTTCATTTTATTATAACTAATCAAGATGGAGATAAGAGATATATCACATCTATTTTATTCAAGGTATTTCTTTATTTTTGTTTATTGGTTCAGGAACTATATCTTTCTGAGAAACTTGGGGCATTTATCATTCCAAAATCAATTTGCATTGTTTCTTCAAAACCACTTTTTACCTTGCAAAAGTAAGTAACACTCTTAATTTCAATATCTCTAAGTCTAATTTTTTAAGAGGTAGTTGCTCTGTATGATTTTTCAGAAGGTGATACTAGATAAAAATGCTCTCTCTATTCAAGCATATGCCAAGCATCCGAGTAACTATCTAAACTATGTGAATTCTGAAACAGAGGAGAAAATTCGTGAGAGCTCAGATAACTTTCTAATGAAGAAAATAGAATTCTACATAAGCATCTTCTTCAATCATCTATACTATTGTGATGAGGTTGATAAGGACATTGAAATAGAAGAAATTAGAGAAAGATACACTCCATACAATCAAAACTCATAGGGTATGCAAGGTAATTACAAGTGTGGACCGAATTGCATTAAAAAGAGACATAAGCATAAGGAAAAATTAGTGGATAGCTATTTTAGATTTAGAAATACCAAAACTTACGGATTCACATTAGAAAATTATAGTTTCGAGCTGCTTCTTCAATGCCTGAAGCCGGAGAGAATTTTATTCCTGATTACTGCTTTACTTTTAGAAAGAAAAATAATTTTGATTAAAGAAAATTTCGGAGATATTGCCTTGATCATGGAGAGTCTCGTATCACTATTAAATCCTCTTAAATGGAATTTCGTGTTCATTACTTATTTGACTCCTTAATTAGTTGAATGCTTGGAAGCTCCTTTCCCGTATATAATTGGTGTTTCTAAGAAGGTGTATTTAGAGTAGTGCCAAATGAGAGAGTTACCAGATGACATTATAAAATTTGATATCGATAATTAGGAACTATTAAACTAGGTCAGAGAGGAATTGCCACCTCTTCCATAGCCACAAGCAAATGTTCTATAAAGAAGCTTAAAAGACATGCTAGATATTAAAGAAAGATTCATTGAAACTATTCAAGAAAATGCTACAAACAAGGTTACTAAAGATAAGCTGGAAGAATACTATTGGGCTTATGCTCAAATTAGAGTGAAGCAGAGCTTTTTCAACTTTTTCCTCCTCACTATAAATAACTATATTGGTTACTTTAAGAACCTTGACGAGGAAGGAAATTTATCACCCCACAAAAAAGACAAATAATGTGAGATAATTATACCCTAATAACAAAATAATTATAGTTTATGATAAATTATCAAGCTAGGATGTTTTTGACTTTGACAGCTATCTAAAACAGTTTGACGGTGGTAACAGAGATTTTATGGAAAAACTCGTACGGACTCAAAGCTTCAATAACTTTATCGAGGAGACCTATAAAAACACGACTCCTAAAAGTGTCATTGGATTCTTCTAAACTAACCTGGAAGTAATGATTGATCATTCATTTAAGAAATTAAAAAAAGAACAAAATAAACTCTTGGATAAGACATTCTTTAACTTATAAAATGTAAGATCATTTCCAATAACTAACAATGTGTATAGCCTGTCAAGTTTAATATAGCTGGAATGTACAGGCATTATAAATAGTAACTTCTAATGAAAAATGCCAAGAAACTCTACTAGATTCTCAAGGACGAGGGAATAGAAGATGGCTAGAATGAAAATCACGCTCATAATAGTGATGAACTCCTGTAGAAGTTATTATTTCATGAAATTACTGAAAGTAAAGATAAATAGCTTTCTCTACTCAATACATTTGAGTTTGACTTGATTACAAATATGCCAGGTATTTAGTATGACAAAATAAGCAGCTACGAATAAATGAAGTCTTAGAGAAGCGATTAAAGTCAGGAGAGAAGAGCTCATAATAAAACTTAAATTGACGGCAAAAGTATGTACGGTTTAGATTTTCAGCAGAGTAGATATCTTGAGGGAAATGATAATGAAAAATCAGATTATAAGAGTAGAAATTTATTCAAAATAATCTAATCTAGAAGCGGTGACCTTGTTAATAAGAGTTAAACCTTCAAAGCAGCAACTCATAAGAGGTCGGGTGGAGGCTTGATCTATGACAATTTTCTATCAATGGCTAATAATTAGACTTAATTATTCTCTCAGGAAGATGACATTCAAAATTCAATGATTGATACTTAAGGTTAAAAATTCATGTTTTAAGATTCAAGCAAACTTGCTCTTTAAAAAATACAAGCTCTTAATGAAAAAGCTGAGAACAAATTTAGAGTCAACTCTGAGAATAAACTTATTGGCTAGCAGAAAATGAATAAAACGATGGAGATTACCAATAATATCTCAATAAGAGCACAGGCTTAGACCTAGTAGCTAAAAATGAGAAATACAAATAATAAAAGCTCGACAAGAAACGACTTTCTACACTCATCTCAAATTATAAATCCCGCCGCCAGTGGAACTTAGGCAAATGCGAAGATAAATAAGTCGCCAAAGGTTTCAGATGACACTAAGTTCAATCAAAGTTTGAAAAAGCCTTAGAACTCATTCCATTAAGAGAAGTAACTGAAGCAGCAGTCAGTTTTGAAAGAAGCTTTAAATAGGAAAATAATGCATGAGCGATAAAAAAATGGATTAGTTAATCAAACTTCTGAGAATAAGATTGAATCCTTTAAATACCCAACTAGTAATATTCAGTCCAATAATGTATCTAGTATGTTTTCTCCAAATAATAGATCATTGGCAAATATGACCAACGATGAAAGCTAAATTAAGCAACAATAGAAGTAGAATTCCAAGTACATTCCTAATTCAAGGATAGATTTAATGAATCCTAAAGTTAAGAAAATCAGCAGAAATGAGGAAAGAAAATTAGCTATGAAAAAAGGATTCCTGAATCCACAACAGCATGAGAGCTTTTCATTGTTTATTTACTCCCCTAATGAAGAGCTAAATAAACTTGCAATGATGTAAGTTATCCAAAGAAAGGTTGAAAATGGGTAAATATAGTTAGGGTAATCTAAAGACTAAATGAGCTTCTCTAACTTATTATACAATCAAAATAACTATAATAGCAATGGCAGTGAAGAGGATGTAATGAGCAGACTTTAAAGAATAAATTCACAGCACAATCAAATACAGTTTTAAAAGAGATTACTGTAAGACTCAGATTTTTTCCAAGCAAACGATACTCTTCTTACAACAATAAACTTCAATCAAAATTTTATTCAGTAAAAACCCTAAATGCATCAATCACCTTCTATTTCACACACAGAAGTAAGCTCTATTAAGAAGAGTGACAGATTGAGAGATCAGTTTGGGGATGAAGAATAGCAATTAATGATCGAGTAAAACTCACCAGATACAAAACATATAAAAGATCTTTAGTCAATCATTAATCCTAACTCCAAGATTAAGGGTTTTGGCTTACAGAGCAGTGCGAAGTCATCTATGCAACAAAATTTACAAAATAGAAGGATGAATAATTCTAATAAAAATAGCATGAACAATTTCAACATGAGTGTAAATGAATAATCTCTAGGAAGGCTGCTAAGTGGAAGCTAAAAAGACTAAGAAGACTTTAAGATTTAGACAAACTTGGCTGAAGGTGATGAAAATCTTGATTCTATTGAAACAAAGCCTCTTAAAATTCTGGAAGACGATAAGGCTGGAATGACAAAGACTTAGCTTATGAATTTGAAGAATCCATAAATCTTGAATAGTGAGTCGCCTTATCTATAGAGCAAAGTCACTCATCATAATCAGACACTAAGCTTTAAGTTTTTCGCTTAGGGCCACTAGCAGAAAGAATTATAGTAGAATTCGAAGAGCAATACCAATTAAAGCACAGTTAAAAAGAATTTTAACCCAGGCAATAGATCACCTTAGAATACCAGCTCTTACAGCAATATGACGAGCAATAACTCAAATAGATTTAACAACAAGAATACTAAGGCAAAGTAGAACTAGAATAGCAACAACATCATGCAAACTTTTGATAGTCGTACAGACTCTAATAAAAAGCAATTGATTTTAAATAGAAAAAGAAGCACTCCAGCCATCAATTCAGAAAAGAGTCCTTAAACTAATAAACAAGGCAACTTCTTATTTAAGGGCGGCACATAGAAAGCAAATTAAGAGCAAAATTAGCCTCAAAGCTAGCAATAAAGTTTTAACTACTTTAAGTAAAGACCAGCCAATTAAACTTTAAAGTCCAATAAGAATTCTCAAATTGCAACTACTACAGTTGACTTAGCACTCAAGCCTAAACTAGCAGACAAAACTACAGCCAGAATAAATGAAAGATAAGATATGACCTAGTTGAGAATCTCCCCAATTCCTAATTTATCATAGATTCTTAATCAGTAGAAGCAGTCTTACAGAGATAACCACAACAGCAGCAGTGGTCTTTCAGACGATTAGGTTATTATTCAGAGCAATAACAATCGTCCTTCTGGCTAACAAAACACTTCCTCTAACATAAATCCTTTAAGTTCAAACTACGCCTCAAGACAGAGCAATAAATCTTTGAACTAAAATGGAGATATGATGTTCGCTTCAATGTCTCAACTACTGGATTCAGATTTGTTTGAAAAGGCCCACTAAACTGTGAACGGAGCTCAAACTGCTAGAAATGAGTCTAATAATAAAAATCCCATTACAACTTAAAAGTTAAGAAATCAGATCTTTAGTTTATCTCAGAGATCATCCTCAAACCTTTAGAACAATTTTATTAGTAGAGGCAGCCATTTAAGCGGTGAAAACTTCATAAGATAATCAGAGTTATCTCACAATTATGACTCAGCAAGACTTTAAAAAGATACAGAGTTACTGCTATAGGATAAACTTGTACTCATTAATTCTTCAAGATAGAGTGACATATTATCCTAAAATGAGCCTTAAAATAATATTTCTATTTCAATACTTAAAAGTTCTCCAACTATGATGACCAAAAATATTTCTAGAACAACTAAGAACATGAATGATAATTAAAGTGGAATCAGCAGGCAAAATTTTGTAATTTAAGGAATGGGCATGGGCTCATCAATTTAGCAATCTGTGCTTACTTCCTAGGATACTTAGAATATGAAAAGTATTTTAAATGCATTGAAAAACCAAGTTCCTTAGTCTTACTAATACCAATAGCCTGTACCTAATGGCTAGAACATCAACATAGTGAATGTTGACTTGAATAAGCATAAGTAAGTAGTATTTTCACCAAAGGGAATGAGTGGCTAAAAGATATAAGACATTCTTCAGTAGACTAGCACTGCTGCAAAAATGATGCTTAGAAATAGCAGTATTGAGGAAGTCAGGAGAAATATCAATATGTCCATTGAGTCGAAGAAGCAATCTAAAATTGAAAACAGACTATATACCAATAACTCAAATGTCTCCGCTAAGAAGCTCAATTTCCCGAGTCAAATGGATGATAAGAAAAAGAAGCAGGCAAGATCCCCATAGCCTTTCAATAATCAACTCCCCCCTGCATCAAATAAGGCTCTCAAAACTCTATAATCCCAAGAGTATAATCTAAAAGAAAAGTAAAAGAGGCCAAGTTATAATACGAATATCAGTAATTTTTAGCAATCATAAGATCCTTTGGTGACTCTTGCCAAAGATAGTCATCGAAGTGGAAAGAAAGTTAAGCAAACTATGAGCAAAAATTAAATTTCTAATAGTAAAATGATAAACTCATCAAGCAAGAATCTCAAAATTGATGTGGCTGATTGTCCAGTTAAAGATATTCCTACTAATTTTCTTTCAAGCACTCTTGCGAAGAGCAACTCTAGAATTGAAGAAATAACTGTGTCAAGATCGACTAAACATCTCTATGGTCCTCCAAGTAAGTCAAGGTTACTTGAAGAGATAGACGATGTAAACTAAGCGTTAATTAGACTAGAAGAGCAAAAGCAAAAGAACAAAAGGTGCAGTGACAACCTACTCGAAGACACTCTAACATCATAGAGCAATTCCAATGCTTCTTACTAGACATCACCTAAGCACATTAACAATAATAGCAGCGCTAAGCAACAAATAAGGGGGTTTTAGAGCTCTACAATATTTAAAACAATCAATAATTAGGCCTTAAGGAAGCAAACATATGATGAAAGTGTTCATGGAAGTAGTAGCAACATTAATAACAATATTTTGGTAACTGTCACCTCAGGCTAATAGTTAGTCACAGTTAGGAATTCTGAATTTCCCATCAAGAACTATCAGCTCAGTTAGCATAAAGAGAGCCTTATCTTATTGAATAATATAAACAAGCCAAAGTATATGTAGAGCACAGATGAATTAGACTATGAAAATCAAGAGATTACAGATTTCAATTAGTAAATGCAATTTTATAATGACGAATCTTCTGATAATGGTCTTCTTTCAAATTAAGTTCACCATGATTCCAAATAAAATGAAAGATTTAGTAAGATTCATTAAGAAATAGATTTACTTATGAGTCAAGCTCCGATTGATAGAAATTCAAGAGGCAAAAAGTCTTAAGTAAACAGAAACAACTAACATTTCAACCACTTTGAAAATTCAAAATTTAGACAAGGAGCATATAGTTTTCATTAAAGCATGAAATAAAGAGGATTGAGTCAGATTAGTGGTAATAACTTTGTCACAAGTTAAAATCTTGAACAAAATTAGCCCTTGAATGAAATAAGACAAAATCAGAATTTAGCAAAAGATTGTGTTATTATCAATAAAAACGACAATAGTTCAGTATCATCAAGCAAAGAACTTAACCAAAAGAATAAATCAATAAAATCAAAGGGTAGTGAGAACAACAACAATTCAATCCATCAATTTACTAATAACTCCAGACATTCACATACAGTGTCTTCAGACAATTTACCTCAAGATTTTAAATCTCTTGCATCTAAGCATCATAATAGAAAGAGATAGCTTCGGCACGGAATGACGACTTGCTTCGTATTCCCAGCAAAGGAAAGCGCTAACTATGTAAGAAGAGACTTAAATCAAGATGTCTTTTGCAAGATTAACAGTCATATTGGAGATGTTGATAATGATCCTCACACTCCCAAGAGCGATGTATCCTTTAATAGTCATGATAAGAACAGTAGAAAAAAAAATAGAAAGAAGATGGCTTCTCAGTATTAAGAAATCATTGCCAATGGATACCAAAATCATTATATATAGTCTCATGTTCCTCTCAGAATGCATTCTACCTCAGTCGATGGTCACGAAGATTATAAATTCTAAAGAAAACTTGGAATGCCTGGCTCGCTTAAAAGGAGATAGGATTAGGAAATATCGAAGAAAGATGATTTAATAATTGATACATAAAAAGAGGATCTATCTTAGAATAATCAGGATAGTGAGCTAGAACATCAGAATAATTTCAACACATTCAAAGTTCTGTAGCACAGAGGAAATGAAAAGCAGTAGAATATTGGAAAGTATGAAGTACTATTCGATGATGCTGATTTAAAAGACACTGAAGATAAATTTACTTCCAGAGACTTCAACTTCAATAAGCTTCGCCACACTCCTGATGAATACTCTGACGACTAATACTATTGAAGATAAATAACTATTGAATTTCTATATAAAATCTCATTACATTTAAGCTTTTCAAATTTTCTGACAATGGGGTTTTGGGGTTTTGGGGTTTTGGGG